GGGGGGGGGGGGGGGGAGTTGCTGCTGGTGAGGTGCAGGCGGTGAAATTTGAATTCCATACCAATCTGGAATAAAAGGTGATCTTAAAGATGGCTGTGTCACCACTACTTCTTCATTTTAATAAAAACATTTGGACCTTTAGGGAAGGAAATCTGTCATCCTTACTGGATCTGGCCTATGTCTTACAACAGATCCACAGCAATGTGGTTGACTCTCAATTGCCCTCTGAAATGCGCTCAAGCCAATGGCTCAAGGGCAACTGGGAACGGGAACAAGTGCCAGCCTTGTGTGCGATGCCCACGTCCTGTATATAAAAAACAATGTAAAGACCGAGATGATTATTGTCTTGATGCAGTGACACATTTTCAGTCTGAGACCTGCAGTCACATGTAGACATGGACCTCAGTCTGTTATGAGTCTGTCACATATTACTGCACCAGGCATCCTTGCCACCCCCACCATTGTCCCTCACTGAAAACTCTTTTCATTGCAGCTCAGTCATATCACTGAGAGTGAAACTGATCAGCATAAGGAAGAAAACACAAATGGTCACTGTGAGGATCTGGGACAATCCATGGCAGGTACGTCAGTGATGATCTGCTTTCCAGAGCAGCCTGAATGAAGGCACATGCACAAGCCTGACTGATATTTCACAGCAAGTGTGTCTCATGATGTCACTAATTTCCCATTCTGTTCCCACTGAGACAGTCCAGCCCCTCGCTTACTCTCCAATTGAGGCCAAACACAGTCTGGGGAATACTTAAACCAAGAAACCATTTCTGCTGTTGGAGAACTCACTCAGTGACACATTTTGGGAGTGGTCCCTATGTTGTCAACTGGTGGGGGGAGCAGACAGATGTTTTTAATCGCCCTCTACCCCAATCCCAGGTGCAGCAAAGTGAGTGTTGATTCTGGGATACTGTGAGGGAGGCTAAGAGCCACATCATATCATACAGTTACCCCTTGAGCCAGTGACTCTGGCCAAGGAAAGGATTTTGGACAATGTCTTCGAAATTCATGTTGATCATAATCTGTATCAACAGCAACTTCCCATTGTGTCGATGCAGAAACTGGGCGATTGGGAGCTGTACATACTGTGTATAGATGCTGCACTGGACACTGACTGAAATCACTGGAATTGTACATTGTAGGTGTGCTGAATGATGGCTACCTCCGACCGTACGGAAGATCCACTTGTGGGGAGCATATGTACGTAAATACTCAGGCCCTCGATCAGCAGGACTGGACTAGCAGAGACATGAGCATAACAGTGAATGGAGCAGTGGGAGACCGGATGGAGAGTCCTGAGAAAGACATGTTTGATATGAGTAAGTGTTTATACATCACATCCCAACACTGGAAAAAGGTACAGGCACTGATGGGTTCCTTTAGGCAGCTGAAATCCGTTAACCCTAACAACCAGGATCAGAACATAGAACATAGAACAGTACAGCACAGTACAGGCCCTTTGGCCCCCGATGTTGTGCCAACCTATTATCCTACTAAGATCAGTCTACCCTGCATACCCTACATTTTACTGTTCTCCATGTGCCTATCCAAGAGTTGCTTAAATGTCCCTAATGTATCTGACCCCACTACCACTGCCGGCAGCGCATTCCACACGCACACCACTCTCTGTGTGAAGAACCTACCTCTGACATCTCCCCTATACCTTCTTCCAATCACCATAAAATTATTCCCATCATAATAGTCATTTCCACCCCGGGAAAATGTCTCTATGTACTCTATCTATGCCTCTCATCATCTTGTACACCTCTGTCAAGTCACCTCTCATCCTTCTTCACTCCAAAGAGAAAAGCCCTGGCTCTCTCAACCTTTCCTCATAAGACCTGCCCCCCAGTCCAGGCAGCATCCTGGTAATTCTCCTCTGCACCCTCTCTGAAGCTTCCACATCCTTCCTATTATGAGGCGACCAGAACTGAACAGAACGTGACATTATTTTACCAAAAATACCATAAGGAATGGTTACTTGGAGATGGGATTCACTCTGCTTCCTATTTCCAAGCCCTAGCTAATTGTTTCTCTTTCTCTTCTCCCTCTAGCCAGCACAATATTTCCTTACTGTTGTTTAGAATTATTTTCCAAGCAAATATTTGCCACTTCAGTACTGAGGGCAGTGCTGCATTGTCAGAGCTGGGGGGCACAGCACATCACAAGACCAGTACTGTGGGGTACTGCATATAGCAGGGTCAGTGCTGGGGGGTGCCGTATCGTTGCCAGGTGGGGGTACTGCACTATTGCAGGTTCAGTGTTAGTGGGGTGGGGGGGGCGCGGGTGGTGTTGCATTTTCAGACAGTCAGTGCTCTGTTTCTTTCTGCTGAAGGACCATTTGACGATGCCTTAAAGCTGCATGATGCCAAATCCAGCAAATGTAAAGGAACAGGAACAGGAATATCGTGCTTAAATCCCAGCTCAGCCAGAGCCACAGAGGAGGAACAGTTAAAGCGGGAGTCCTGGTATCATGGGAAGATTAGTCGGAAAGTGGCCGAGAAACTCCTAGTGTTGGATGGAGACTTCCTGGTTCGGGAGAGCATGACGAACCGTGGACAGTACGTCCTGACTGGAATGCACAATGGCCAGGCCAAGCACCTTCTCTTGGTGGACCCAGAAGGAGTGGTGAGCTGGCATGAGGGCACTGGGAGTATTGGTATCTGTGGGTTCAGGATGGTTTCTCTTTCTAGGGCCTGTGCATTGTCTGCTGCTATAATGTTCCTGAGGGTGGAGGCTGGGAGGGCTTTGCGCAGTGATGCTTCAGTGATCGAATATCTCCTTTGTTTACCTCCAGATGCAGCCAGAAAGAACAGCTTCCTGTTTAAGGTGCCTCTTGATGCCCAATGTCAGCCCCATCCATCTTGCTGCACTACCCCCCCCCCCCCCCCCCCCAAAACATCATCTGCCTCCTTTCCCTGCTGCTCCAGTGCTGTCCCGACTGCTTGCCCCCTGTCCCCACTTGTCTCCGCTGTGGCTCTAACTCTGTCACTTCCTTCCAGGTGCGGACGAAGGATTTACTCTTTGAAAACATCACACACCTCATCAATTATCACTTTGAGAGTGAAGTTCCCATTGTAGCAGCGGAGAGTGAAGTTTGTCTGAAACAGATCATCGTCAAGAGGAAGCACTGAGCTGCTGTAAGTAATAGGGGGACTATCGGGTTAGAAAGCTGATTGGGAAGGACATACCTTTCACATCCACTGGAATGTAACACATGCAGCAGCCTAGCAATACATAGCAAGATCCCACAAACAGCCACTTGTTGATAATGGCCAGATAATCTATTTTTGTGATGTTGTTTAAGGGATGAATATTATTCAGAACACCAGATATTATTCCTTTTGCAAAATACTAATCATGTAATTTTTGTTTTACTTCTACCAGAGGGCAAATGGGACCACTGTTAAATTCACAAGACAGCACCTCTGAAAATGTAGTACTCTCTCAGCACTGCACTGGAGTGTTGGCCTGCATTATGAGTGTTTCCTTTCCTCCTGAGACAACCCACCCATTGCAGATATTAGTCTGATTTAAACCTTCCCTAAACTGCCTCCAATGCATTTATATCCTTCCTTAAATAAGGTGGCCAATACTATACACAGTACTGTGCTCTGTGCACATACCAGTGCTCTGTGTACGTAATATAACCTCCCTACTTTTGTATTCGATACCCTTGTGATAAATGATACCATTCTGTTAGCTTTCCTAATTACTTGCTGTAGCTGCACGCTAACCGTCTGCGATTCATACACCAGAACACCCAGATAGCTATGATGTTGTTGCTGCTGTTAACCGTGGCAATCCTCAATGTGTAGCTGATTAGTTGCACATAGATCTTGGCTTGAGTTTGGAACTTTTTCTTTTTGCAATTTTTTGTTTAGCATTCATTTTCTTCCTCTCTGAGGAAGGGAGGGGGGAGAATCTGGCTTGGCTTACAGGCTTTAGAAAGTCTGAATCCTAATTATATGCTCACCTCAGTTTTGTGATAAACTGCTACTTAGAACTGACCCAAAAGTTATTGCTGGGCAGTTTTTGTTTCCAACCCAAAGACACCTGGTGCCAGTTTGTCTCCAAAAGTATTAAATCCAGTTTCTTAAAAAAGAATCACTTTGGGTAACCAATACATGACCACACAGTTCCACTTTCTCTTGTATACAAAACTGGTTCATCCTCTGCAACACAGCAGTCCAAATTTCAATTTTCCAGCTTATAGTTTGAATAAAATATGTGTTGTCCTTACAGTTTAACACATAGGGTTATTAGGACTTGAACATCACAGCAGTAATAGGTGTCTTCTTCTGCTTTTTCTTTAAATTCTGTAAAGAATGTTTCTGTGCAGTCCACATCCCAATTGTCACACTTTGTCAATGGAGGCATGATTTCATGGTGAATTTCACTTTTGAGACAATAAGGGGGAAGATGTTTCTTTGTATACCAATAACTTGTTCCTTTTTTCCCCAACTGAAATCACTTTTGGCAGTTTCAACAATGTTATTGAAAAACCCTTTTACGTTTACATACAAGGCATATTCCTAAAATGAAACAACAAACTGGAAACGCTGAAGATCTGAAACAAACATAAATTGCTGGAGAAACTCAGGAGGTCTGTCCCTTCTGAAGAAGGGTCACTGGATTTGAAATATTAACTGTTTGTTTTCTCTCTACAGATCCTGCCATTCCTGCTGGGTTTTGCTAGCAATTTCTGTTTTTGTCATTTTCCTGGTGGATTTGATCTCTGAATAAGGTCAAAAATCACAACAGGTTAACTTGAAAACACAAGCTTTGGGAGTCTTGCTCCTTCTTCTTGTGTTAGTGAGAGAGGTGGCATCAGACACAGAATTTATAAGCAAAAGATCAAAGGGTCAGAGAACTGATGCAAATGTATTGAACAAACCTAAGATGGCTGTTAAATCTTTAATCAGTTAGAAAGGAGATGCAGGTTTCAATTGATTAATATGCAGGTTTCAATTGATTAATATGCAAATCCCAGAATTTCTTTAAGTCACTGCCCCGAGATAACTAAAGGTTTTATCAATATACCAGAAGTGCCACCTCAGGTCAGACAATGCGTTTTAGGTTCCCTCCCAGTCGGGGAACACTTCAGAGGTCAAGGACATTCAGCCTCGGATCTTTGGGTAAATGTCCTCCAAGGCGGCACACAGAGTCGCTGAGCAGAGGCTGATAGCTAAGTTCAGTCCCCTTGAGGACGGCCTCAACTGGAATCTTGGGGTCATGTCACACTACAGGTGACTCCACCACACCATACACTCTCACACACGCACACACACTCTCTCTCACACACACACACACACACACACACACACACACACACACACACACACACACTCTCGGGCGCATGTACACAAAACACATGCACATATGCATGCATGCACTCTCTTCCCCCACCCCTCACACCCACTCAACCCCCACACACACATAAATTTATGGGGTGAATTTGCAATTGCAGATACATTCTATTTTGTTCAAAAAGCACACAATTTGTAGACAGTTAATGTGGCATTTTATAAATTCCTGCTTTGGAAATAAAACCAGTCTGACTCCAAGTTAAAAGACAGATTCTAAACAAGGCCTTGCATCTAAAATGCATTGTCTGACCTGAGGTGGCACTTCTGGTATATTGATAAATCCTTTAGTTATCTCGGGGCAGTGACTTAAAGAAATTCTGGGATTTGCATATTAATCAATTGAAACCTGCGTCTCCTTTCTAACTGATTAAAAATTTAACAGCCATCTTAGGTTTGTTCAATACATTCGCATCAGTTCTCTGACCCTTTGATCTTTTACTTATAAATTCTGTGTCTGATGCTACCTCTCTCTCTAACACCTGAAGAAGGACTGAGGCTCCAAAAGCTGGTGATTTCAAATAAACCTGTTGGACTATAACCTGGTGTCGTGTGACTTCTGACCTTGTCCACCCCAGTCCAACACCGGCACCTCTGCCTCTTGATCTCTGAACATTTTGACATCTTTCACTTGCTCCTGATTGCGAATACTCAAAGGTGTGAGCAATGAAGGCAAGTGTGCTGAATACCTTTGTGACCACCCTGTCTACCTGTGACTCAAATTTCAAAGAAGTTTGTGTTTGAACCCCTAGGTGTCTCTGTTCTACAACACTACTCAGGGCCCTACCATTAATTGTATAGGTCTGCCTTTGTTTGTTTTACCAAGGCAATACCTTGCATTTATCCAAATTAAACTCCATCTGCCATTACCCATTGACCCAAATGATCAAGACCTCTTTGTAATCTTAGATAACCTTCTTCACTGTCCACTGAACTGCCAATTTTGGTGTCATCCACGAACTTGCTAACCAGGTCTCCTGTACTCTCATCAAGTTGTTTATATAAATGACAAACAAAAGTGGACCCAGTACCAATCCCTATGGAGTGCCGCTGGTCACACACCCCCAGTCCAAAAAACAACTCTCCACCACCACCCTCTACCCCCGACTGTGAAGTCAATTTTGTATCCAATTAGTAAGCTCAACCTGAATCCCATGTGATCTAACTTTACCAATTAGTCTACCATGCGGAACCTTATCAAAGGCTTTACCAAAGACTCTCTATATTCAAGGAAACATTCCCTTAACTAACCTGAGCTGCGTTCCGTTCTGGTATGTCCCAAGGGAATACATTTCACTTCTTCCATCGCAACTGTCATAACATCCACTTCCTATTCATGTATAGTCTCTCCTAAAGCATTTCCTAAGATTTCTACTGGTTTACTGTTCTGCTTCCAACAGCCCATGCAAAGGGGATTGATTGTGATGTTGCACAAGTACATGGACTTTTGGGCATCACTCCTACCCACAGGACCTTTTCTCTTTGGCCCAAAGAAGGGACCTGCTTGCATTCTAGCTTTATTTTCTCAGCCCAGCTGTTGCCTTCCTTTCAGTCTCCCTCCTTCTACCCTTTTGGGGATGGGGTGTATGTTTGTGTGTGAGAGACACAAATAGGCGTTCTCTTGGGTAGGGGCATGTGGACAAGATTGTAACCATTAGCCACCTCAGCTGCTGCTACATGTGTCCTTTGTAGTGGTAGGAAGAGAGTTTTTAAATTCTTTGCTTTCGAAGGCAGCCTATGTTTAAATGCCTGCATTCACCAGGAAATGGCAATCTCAATCTCTAAGTCAAACTCAGGCTGCTATTGGGGGTTTAAACATTTCTGCCTATAAACTTCTGACACCAGCTCATAAGCTCTTTTTAAGCTATCTCATAATCTGCAAAAGTCTCAAAACGTGGCATAAACCTAATGGGCTTTGCATGTTAACCTAATCTTCATTAGCAGTTTCTGAGGGCTATTTAATATTTTTGCAATCTTTTCAAATTAAATGAAAAATGTCTCTTGGTCCTCTCCTCCCAAAATTTGAGATTGCCAAGGTGAGCTTAAACAGCTCTGCACTTATCCTGGAGTTGGGACAGCTTTTGGGGTGGCACAGTGGCTCAGTGGTTAGCACTGCTGCCTCAAAGTGCCAGGGACCTGGGTTTGATTCCAGCCTCGGGTGGCTGTCTGTGTGGAGTTTGCACATTCGCCTCGCATTTGTGTGGGTTTCAGCCAGGTGCTCTGGTTTCCTCCCACAGTCCAAAGATGTGCAAGCTAGGTGGATTGGCCATGCTAAATTACCCACAATGTTCAGGGATGTGTAGGTTAGGTGCATTAGCCAATGGGAAATGCATGTTTAGGGGGATGGTTCTGGGTGAGATGCTCTTTGGAGGGTCAGTGTGGACTTGTTGGGCTGAATGGCCTGATTCCACACCGTGAGGTTCTATGACTCTCCTCAGCAATAAGTTCACTGGTTTCAGGGGGATCTTCCTCTCTTCAAAACGTTTTAATTGAAATTCTGTTATCCTGTTTCTGTTGTGATCCTCCCTTGAATGCTCTTTTCCTTTTCTCTCCTTGCCTGGGATCTGGTTTAACACTGCCCTCTGTCTCTCCCAATTTGACGCTGAGACTGTTGGCTACTAGTTTGTTTTTTTAGCTTTTCATCTAAATTCTATCATTGACTGCAGAGTTGAGGTTTTCAATGCAACAATGGACAATGCTTTTCGACATTTTTAATCAACCAGCTCAGATGTTAGGACACACATCTGGAACTTATGGGACGGAGGTCTCCTGGTCCAGAATAGGGACATTACCATATGAATATATGAACAAGAAAGAGGAGTAGGCCACTTAGCCCTTTGAGTCTGCTCTACCATTCTTTAAATTGAGGTTAAATGAATTTAACCTCAACTCTACATTCCTGCATATATCCTGGCATCCACCTAGTCAAATCCCCTCAGGATCTTATGTTTCAATTAAGTCATCTCTGAATCTTTGAAATTCCAAAGCATACAGGCTTAGCCTTTTTAGCCTTTCCTCACATGGCAATCTGCTCAATCAAGATATTAGTCTAATAAACCTTCGCTGAACTGCTTTCAAAGTACTAACATCCTTCTGTAAGTACAGTGACCAGAATTAGTATACAACACTCCAGATGCTGTCTCACTAATGACCTGTATAACTGAAGTATTATCTCTCCACTCTTGCATTCCATTCGCCTCACAATAACACATTACATTCTGTTAGCTCTCCTGATTACTTGCTGTACCTACACCTTCTGTGACTCATGCACTAGGACACTGAGATCCTTCTGCGTTTCAGAGTGCTGCAACCTCTCACCATTTAGCTAATGTGCTGCTTTTATATTCTTTCCATCAAAATGGACAATTTCACACTTTCCCACATTATACTCCTTTTGCCAGATCTTTGCCCACTCATTTTATAAAACAATATACATCCCTTTGTAAGATCCTTATGTCCTCTTCATAAGTCGCTTTCCCACCTATTTTTGTGTCATCAGCAAATTTAGCTCCTATACCTTCAGTCCCTTCTCACAGACCATTTCTATAAATTGGAAAGAGTTGAGATCCCAGCACTGACCCCTGTAGCACATCACTTATGACATCCTGCCAGCCGAAAAATATCCATTTATTCCTACTCTCGGCTTCCTGTTAGCCAGCCAAACTTCTATTCCATTCCAATATGTTACCCCCATACCATGAGCTTTTATTATTCACAAAAACATTTGTAATTGGCACCTCTATGAAATGTCTTCTGCAAATCCAAGTACAGTACCTCCACTGGTTCCCCTGTATCCATAGCACAGCTTTCTTCTTCAAAGACCTCCAACAAATTAGTTAAACAGGATTTCCCTTTGCTAAAACCATGTTGGCTCTTCTTGATTACACTCCACCACAAGATCCTTCTGGACAATTCTAGTAGATATTTTGTAAAGAACCTATTCAGAGATGGTACTGCACACCTCTGAAGCAGGTGGGACTTGAACCCAGGTGTTTTGGTCCAGGGGTAGGGATACAAATACTGCACCACAAGAGAGCCCTGTGTTATGCTTTAAATTTATTTTTTTTTATTTAATCTATTTTTCCGGTCAACCTGTTCAGAGATATTGTCACACACCTCTGGAACAGGTGGGACTTGAATCCAGTCCTCCTGGTCCAGGGGTAGGCACACTAATACTTCACCACAACAGCCCAGTCCAGACAAAGCTTTTAAAACTGTTCCAATTTATTGCATTCACCTGTAAAAACATACTAACCTCAAACAGGACCATTTGGATAATAAAACATTATTCCAGTACACAAAGCTGTATTGGTGTTTTTAAAACTATGTCCCCATTTCAAATTACATTTGTTTGTCTGTGGGTTGTTTGCTGGTTGTAAGCTTTCAAATGTTTGATACAACCTTAGTTAGGAGGGAAACTGGCTCCTTTCCCTGACTCATTCCTTCACTGGTCTCTCAGTTTGAATATATGAAGGGAAGAGATATTGCTGAGGATCAGATTGTATACATGCCAGTATCAGAAACTGGTCCGCCAGGTTCTTTAACAAATCATTACAATTATGAAGGGAGGAATGTACTGACAATCAAGTGTCACTATTCCTCCATCTGTACTGTGAGTGTAAATGTGTGGATTTAATCACCAAAATGGCCATTTTTTTCTTTTTATTCCTTCATGGGACTTTGGCATCACTGGCCAGGCCAGCATTTAGAACATGGAACTGTGCAGCACAGGAACAGGCCTTTCAGCCTATGGTGATGCCAAATTAAACTAATCCCTTCTGCCTGCCCTTGGTCCATTTCTCTCCATTCCTTCAATATTCATGAGCTTATCTAAAAGTCCCTTAAATGGCCCAATCATATCTGCCTCCATCACTACCCCTGGCAGCACGTTCCAGACTCCTACCACTCTGTGGGGGAAAAGAACTTGCCTCTCACATCTCCTTTGAACTTTCCCCTCTCACACTAGGGGGCATGCATTTAGGGTAAGACATTTCAATGCTCAGGATAAAGATTCTGACCCTCAACCCTATCTGTGCATCTCATAATTTTATAAACTTATGTCAAGTCTCCCCTGGGCCTCCACCATTCCAGAAGAAACAAGTTTTTCTAGCCTCCCCTTCTAGCTCATACTCTCCAATCCAGGCAGAATCCTGGTAACCCTCTTCTGCACCCTCTCCAAAGCCTCCACATCCTTCCTGTAAAGTGGCGACCAGAATTGAACGCAATACTCTAAGCGCGGCCTAACCAAAGTCTTATAAAGCTGCAACATGACATCCTGACTCTTGTACTCAATTCCCCGACAAGTATGCCATATGCCTCCTTTACCACCCTATCTACTTGTGTGGCCACTTTCAGGGAGCTATGGACTTGAACCCCAAGATCCCTCTGTACATCAATGCTGTTCAGGGTCCTGCCATTAACTCTATACTTTCCCTTAACATTTGATCTCCTAAAGTGCAGCACCTCACACTTACCCAGATTAAACTCCATCTGCCATTTCTCCACCCATATCTGCAACTGATCTATATCCCACTGTATCCTTTGACAACCTTCTACACTATCCACAACTCCATGAACCTTTTGTGTTATCTGTAAACTTACTAACCCACCCATCTACATTTACATCCAAGTCATTTACATATATCACAAACAGCAATAATCCCAGTACGGATCCCTGTGGAACGTCATTAGTCACGGACCTCCAGCCTGATAAACATCCTTCCACCACTACCCTCTGCCTTCTATGCCAAGCCATTTCTGAATTCACGCAGCCAAGTCACCATGGATCCCATGCATCTTAATCTTCTCGATGAGCCTACCATGAGGGAGTTCATCAAAAGCCTTACTAAAATCCATGTAAACAACATTCACTGCTGTACCTCATTGATCACCTTTGTCCCCTCCTCGAAAAATTCAATCAAGTCAGTAAGACATGACCTGCCCTGCACACAGCCATTGCTGGCTGTCCCTAATTAGGTCATGCTTTTCCAAATGCGCATAAATCACCAAGTCACCCTTTATTTACACTGATTCAGCTCCCTTAAAGCCAGCTTTGAGTGAACTGAACCTCTGACACTCCTGTTTATATCTGTCAGCCCAATCAGGGAACTCATATTCTATGAGGGCCATCTGGCTGACCTTGTTACAATCACTACAATTGGGTTTTCAACTCTCTCACTTTGATGAGAGGCATCTCAGATAAAGTGTAAAAAGAGACTAAGAAAAGGCTGCTTCCCCTGCAGCAAATTTTGTCTGGCTGTGTTCAAAGTCAATATTTGATTTGATTTAATATCGTCACCTGTACTGAGATACAGTGAAAAGTATTGTTTTCCATGATAACCAGACAATCATACCTTCCATAAGTACATCAGAACAGAATGCAGAATATAGTGTTACAGCTAGAGAAGGTGCAGAGAAAGATCGATTCCAATGTATGAGAGGTCCATTCATAAGTGTGAGAACAGCGAGGAAGAAGCTTTTCTAGAATCTGTTGGTACGTGTTTTCAAACTTTTATATCTCTTGCCCAGTGGAAGAGGGTGGAAGAGAGTATAACCAGGCTGGGAGTGTCTTTGATCTTGGCTGCTTTCCCGAGGCAGTGGTAAGTATAGGTGGAGCCAATAGATTGAAGGCTGGTTTGTGGACTGGGCTCTGTTCACAACTCTCTGTAATTTCTTGTGGTCCTGGGCAGAGCCGTTGCTGTACCACACTGTGATGTGTCCAGACAGGATGCTTTCTGTGGCACCTTTCTATCCATAAGGAGTCATGTAATCCTCTCTCTGACAGTGCAGAGTTGGTGTCTTCATTCCAGGAGCTTGTCCTTTGCAAATGCAACATTTTTGCTGTTGCAATGTGTTCCTGTAAGTCCAGATGATATTATAAGTTAATATTTTTAAATGATACATTTTCATAACACTATCAATATTACTATTGTCACAATTCCAGCTGCTTTAGTAAACTGTGTTTCTCCTGCTCCTAGGCAGTGGCTGATATGATTTGAACATATCCCTGAATTCCAAAGATATCCAGAGATTTTTGATCAAGAATGAATATTTGTGAGCAGACATATTGCTTCAGTTCTGGATTTGAGTCGTGAAATTTGGAGAAGAGATTGAAATTCCTCACTCTTGCAGCCAGCTCTCTGTCCACTCCAGCTGCTTCACAGAGCATGTTGCTTATCGCAGTCAGTGTAATCACTAACACGGCAGCACTCGAGAAATGGGATTCAACTGAACTCAAACTAATTGTTACTGTCCGGGATACATACAGGACATCTCATGATGACAAAGAATGGACAGTAGGAGGGAATTGTTGGACTGTACTGCTCTGTGTGTGTATCTCAATAGCAGCTCCCACACACACGTAGGTAAAGGGGATGGTTTATTCCTGATTGGTGTTGTACAGCCTGATGGTCCCCGTGCTACGTGTAAATATCATATTCTGGTGGGGTGGTGGGAGTGTTGACCCCACGAACTGAGTGATTTGGGGCCATAATGTGGGTGTCAGGGAAAGGTTTGGCTGACACTGTATTTCTGACACGCTGTCAGAACAATCGAAAGATTCTGCCTGGGTTCCACAGCTACAGCCTCTAAAGCTCAGTCCACAAACATTTCAGCAAAACTGATCTGGAGACCAAGGATGCAGGTAGTGGTGAGGGGTCTCTATTCCCTCAAACCCTCTCTTCCCCATGCCCCCTCTCTTCTTCCCACCAATCTCTCCCTTCTTAACCCCCATTTGTCCCTTTCTCCCACTCCCCCTCTCAACACTAACCCCCCAGCTCTCGGGTCCCAATCCCCTCTCCTCTCTCTCTCTCTCCCCCTCCCTGTGTCTCTCTTTTTCTGTCTCTTCCTCTTACTGAGTCACTGCTGGTGAAATTTGTCAATTTTTGATTTTGTGATTAAAGTCCTTTTCTCAATCTTTGAAATAAAAGTGATAATTGGGATGTATTTAAGTTGTCTTACTGATCCATTTTGTGGTGAATAAAGTCAGTACGACCTGGTGCCTCTGCCCAGAAGATTAAACATCCAGTTTAGGTGGAGTTGTAATGCAGCAAAGGAGGGAGGATTTTGTTCATCAACCCCCTGGCCTCCCCCTCTGCCTTTGTGCTTCACCCTGTCCCCCACCCCCAGGTTTAGACACAGGTTGCTGCTCTGTTTGAGTCAGCCCAAAGTCTGCCAGTATGTTTGTTGTCATAGCCTGTGGAAGGACAGGAGGAGTCAGCACTAGCTTTCTGAGTGAGTAGGGAGACATGTACCATCTCCCTAAGGTCCTAGTAATCATGTTGGCATAAAGATACAAGGCGAGTGTCACTGTTAGAACATAGAACAGTACAGCACAGTACAGGCCCTTCGGCCCACGATGTTGTGCCGAACTTTTACCCTAATCCTAAGGTCTATCTAACCTCCACCCCTACCTTATACTATCAACCATATGTCTATCTAATAGCCACTTAAATGCCTCTCATGAGGCCGACTCCATTACCCTCTCCGGCAATGCTTCCCACGCCCCGACCACTCTCTGAGTAAAGAACCTACCTCTGACGTCTCCCCTATATCTACCTCCACTCACTTTAAAACTATGTCCACTCATAATAGCTACCTCCACCCTAGGAAAAAGTCTCTGGCTGTCCACTCTATCTATACCTCTGATCATTTTGTACACCTCTATCAAGTCACCTCTCATCCTTCGTCGTTCTAAAGAGAAAAGCCCTAGCTCTCTCAATCTTTCCTCGTAAGACTTTCCCTCCATTCCAGGCAACATCCTGGTAAATCTCCTCTGCACCTTTTCCAACGCTTCCACATCTTTCCTGTAATGAGGCGACCAAAACTGGATACAATACTCCAGATGTGGCTGAACCAGGCTTTTGTATAGCTGGAGCATAACTTCGTGGCTCTTGAACTCAATCCCCCTGTTAATGAAAGCTAACACACCATACGCCTTCTTAACAACTCTATCCACCTGGGTGGCAGCTTTCAGGGAACTGTGGACATGAACCCCAAGATCCCTCTGCTCCTCCACATTGCCAAGAATCTTTCCATTAACCCTGTATTCTGCTTTCAAGTTTGTTCTTCCAAAATGAATCACCTCACACTTTTCAGGGTTAAACTCCATCTGCCACTTCTCAGCCCAGCTCTGCAATGTCCCTTTGTAACCTAGAACAGCCCTCCGCACTATCCACAACTCGACCCACCTTCATATCGTCTGTTCTGTCAGACCAGTTACGACTGCTGAAGAGGCAGACGTTGCTGCTTCCAGAAAGGAGACTACCTGATGAAGTGGGATATTTATTAAATGCATAACATTGCTATATGTTACATTGCAACAAAATGCACATAAGAAAGCAGAAAAGATTGTTTGCAATCAACAGTCTTCACTTTAGAGCCTGCATGCACGTCTTGACCGCAACTTCATTAGAAGATTGGTGCTGGGTCCACTGTTTTTTGTTATTTATATAAATGATGTGGATGTGAACATAGGAGGTATGGTTAGTAAGTTTGCAGATGACACTAAAATTGGAAGTGTAGTGGACAGCGAAGAAGATTACCTCAGAGTACAGCAGGATCTTGATCAGACGGGCCAATGGGCTGAGGAATGGCAGATGGAGTTTAATTTAGGTCAAGATGCTGCATTTTGGAAAGGCAATTCAGGGCACGACTTATACACTTAATGTTAAGGTCGACTTGTACACTTAATGATAAGGTCCTGGGGAGTGTTGCTGAACAAAGGGATCTTGGGGTGCAGGTTCATAGTTCCTTGAAAGTGGAGTCCCATGTAGATAGGATAGTGAAGAAGGTGTTTGGTATGCTTGCCTTTACTGGTCAGTGCATTGAGTATATGAGTTGGGAGGTCAAGTTGTGGCTGTACACAAGATTGGTTAGGCCACTTTTGCGGTATTGTGTGCAGTTCTGGTCTCCTCCTATAGGAAGGATGTTGTGAAACTTGAAAGGGTTCAGAAAAAATTTACGAGAATGTTGCCAGTGTTGGAGAGTTTGAGCTAAAGAGATAGTATGAATAGGCTGGGGTATTTTTCCTGGAGCATCGGAGGCTGAGGGGTGACCTTAGAGGTTTATAAAATCATGAGGGGCATGGATAATATAAATAGACAAGGTCTTTTCCCCGGGGTGGGAGTCTAAAACTTAGAGGGCATATGTTTAAGGTGAAAGGGGTAAGATATAAAAGGGACCCAAGGGATAACTTTTTCACACAGAGGGTGGTGCATTTGTGGAAAGCTCTGCCAGAGAAAGTGGTGGAAACTGGTACAATTAGAACATTTAAAAGGCATCTGGATGGGTATATGAATAGGAAGGGTTTAGAGGGAAATGAGCAAATACTGGCAAATGGGCCTAGATTTAAATAAGATATCTAGTTGGCATGGATGAGTTGGGCTGACAAGTCTGTTTCCGTGCTGTATATCTCTATGACTCTTAGAGTCAAACGAAATTGACAAACTCCTCAAACCAACCATTCCAGGACCAAGCCATTACGGAACCAACTGAACAACAACCAGTTCAAAACTTCATTGAGCCCCCCAACACTTGGCAGAAACCAAATGGAAGAAAGAATCCAGTGAGATTGCTCATCTTGACATCTGAGAGCCAGGTAACGTGGTCAACACAGAGGAAATCACAATCATGATAGGACAGATGGAAATTTTCCTTTTTTAATTTATTCATTTGTAGGATGTGGATGTCACTGGTTGGTTAGCATTTCTTGTCCATCCCTAGTTGCCCTTGAGAAGGTGGTGGTGAGCTGCCTTTTTGAACTGCTGCAGTCCACCTGCTGTGGGTTGACCCACAATGGCCTTAAAGCAGAGAATTCCAGGATTTGTACCCAGTGACAGTGAAGGAACGGAAATATATTTCCAAGTCAGGATGGTGAGTGGCTTGGAGGGGAACTTGCAGGGGATGGTGTTCCCATATATCTCCTCCCTTGTCCTTCTAGATGGAAGTGGTTGTGGGTTTGGAAGGTGCTGTCTGAGGATCTTTGGTGAATTTCTGCAGTGCATCTTGTAGATAGTACACACTGCTGCGACTGAGCGTTGATGGTGGAGGGAGTGGATGATGCAAAGTGACAGGGTACTGGTGACAGTAATACAATAGATACGATTGTGGAATGGGTTAGCTGGTTATTTGGAAAAAAAACTTGAGGAGATGTGGTATAATGATTCCGAAAGTTAATGATGGAGCTGCGTTAGCTCCACCCAATCTGATGTCACACAGTCCTCGGGTGGTGATGGATGTTCAATGTGAGCTTTTGCAGGGCACATACGTATTCTGTGCAGTATTCTGTGTGCCTAGTAATGTAAATTGCAGTTATTGCTATCATGCAAAAAAACATCTTTCGCTAAGATAAATGCCTCATCTGTTTTGACGCCCCATTGATAGTTAGAAAGGCAGTAGAGAAAGCAGGATTGGTGGCAATGATCTACTAAAACCAGCCATACCACTTGCTCCATCCTGACAGAGTCGCAGAAGCCATAAGATACTAGCACTGGAAATCAGGACAAATACCACAAATATTGCGGTATCAGAGGGTCAGCGCTGAGGGAGCGCTGCACTGTCGCAGGGGATTGTTAAATAAAACGAACTCCTGACGGTCACTCTACAATCAACAAGCAACAATTTATTATCTAACTCCAACAGTGATCAAATTAACATAACTACTAACAAACCGAACAATTCCCCCTAACTACTAACTATTCCTGAATAAAACAAAATTCTAATGGTATGCTGTTCCAATAAATATAAGTACCACTTATATAAACCAAAGTAATAAGACACAAATAAAGTAAAACTTAGACACTCAAAGCTACAGCCAGGATGCATCTTCTGGAATGTTCCATGCCTTTTCCGCTATTCTTCAGTCAGGAATTCTTTCTTTTGTCAAATCCTTGTGTCAGGAATTTTAGTTGAGAGTGCTGTGATACCTTTTACATATTGCTTAATCAGAGAGTTGAAAGATTTCTGTAAGAGACAGATTTTACTCTTCCGATGGCAATTCACTCTCACACTGATTTTCAAGGAAAAAAACCCCTCTTCTTATATAACCTTGATGACCTGTCAATTTTCTTATAATAGGATTGGTCCGAGGTTGTCAACACCATCAGATTTAAATTCAATTGGTTTTCTCTAAGTACCTGGTTTAAATTAATTGGCTGATATTCAAGTTGGTTGCCTTAACATCAAAACAAGCCTAGGTTGTCAACCACGCAGCCAACTGAAAAACATGTTTCAATTTTAGAATTGTCTGTGCATCTGCAGACTTTTCTTTATCTCCAAGCTTACAAAAGCACATCACCTCTTAAAGGAACCATGCACTCTTCCACCCAACTTATTTACAAATCCTAACATCTTGTCTTCCAAGTACTCTACCCAACATCACAACACCTCCCCGCTTAAGAAAAAAGAAATGGACCATCATTATTAAAAGATGGCTTCATTTTTGTTCTAAATCTTAACACCATTATTACTAAATCCACAATGCATTAATCTAGAGTTACTCATTTCAAACCAATTCTACATACATATATGACATTGAACACTACCGTTTCTATCTTATACACACATTTTCTTTTAAACCTGCACTAATGCATCCACTATAACATTATCACTACTTGCAACATGTACAATCTGTAAATTAAATACTTGTAACATAAGGCTCCAATGAAATAGTCTGGTGTTCATATCTTTATATTGTTCCAAAATTGTCAAAGGGTTGTGATTAGTATACACAGTCTCTGATACAACTTTTGCAACATAAACATTAAAATGTTGTAAGGCAGTACCAAACTCAATAACTCCTTTTCAACGGTTGAATATTTTTTTCTAGTGGATATTGAGTTTCTTTGAAAAATAACCGATTGGCCTTTCAATTTCACAATCATACTCCTGTAACAACACAGCTCCAACCCCTGCATCGCTTATGTCGCTGGCAACTTTAAAGGGTT